CCGTGCCTCCGAACACATTACATGATTAAACCGCCCCAATGGCATAGCAACCGGCCTTGCAGCACTTACCTTATTAAAATATCCACCACCCGCCCTCACCGCGCCCTTTTAACAAAACCTTCACGCGGACCCGCGGACTGTTCCATCGCCTATACTTTATCGTCGAGAAACGTTTAAGTCGCCGTGTTCTTTGAATCGACCTTCCTTACTGGCGAATGTCATTCAAAGAAGACAATCAAGAAACAATTCTACATTAATAATTAACTAGTAATAATTAACAAGTAACATAAACGTGCAAAAGATATGGAAGGAATTAAAATGAAATTCAATGTTCATTTTGGAATTGTTACTACTACCCTAATTCGACTAACAATAAGCAATTAACGTAATATATTCGATTGAGTTTCACGAAAAATTATATTCTACTATACTACCACCCATAAGTATTGTCCCATCCATATTAAATTTGCTTTAATAAAAAAAATTTTCTAAATTGTGATAAATTTTTGAAAATAATTAGGTTTCGTCACAATATAGGTCACAAAGAAAGCAAAATTCATGATCACTCCTTAAAAATTCCCAAAGTCAAATATAACATGAAATAGAGTACCTTACATTCAACGATCATCGATACCTGGGCATCTAATAATTTTTCCTCATAGCAGAATACAATTTATTCATTTGACATTTTTTCGTCAAAACCAAGGAATTACCAAGCAAGTCAAAATGACTTGTCAATACACTCTTACAACGACGATTAAAATGTTATGACAATACATTTTCTTAGATCTTTTGCCTCTTTTATTACGATATAAAAGTCAAGAAATTAGTCAATTTCTGAATTTCTAAATTTTAAAAAGTTTTTCACGTTTATCCACTGATCGAGGCAAATATGCGTTTATCGGTAGTTCTAGTTCTAGTGTTAAAGATACATCAGATACGTGTAGTTTGGTACCATTTGACTCGGGTGTCTGACTATTACTGATTATTATCACTTATGTTAATATTTATCAATAATGATATAAACTGAAAAGGACGAGACAGAAAGATTAATACAAAATGGATAATCGTTAAATGTAACCACATTTCGATCGTAAATACTTACATAGGAGTAATTACAGATTAACCCTTAGTTGGCGATGCCTGGGTCCATTTTGACTCAGAATTATCGAAAGTTTTCCGTATCTATTTAGCTTTTCAGAACTAAGCGTACAGTTGTTTCATATTAATATTTGATAAGGAGACTAATGTATTTTATAGAAATACACTTTAAAAAAACATCTCGAAACTGATCAGTAGGGGTGTGAGTGTATCCAGGTACCACTGTATGTACGAACCTTGGTAACATTCGCCCTCTGATGGTTAATACGGATAATCTAATGGGTTTAATCTAGAAATATATATTCACCTATATATCTAGGTGAATGTCATTTAATTTATACTAATATAGATACTGTAGCATATTAAAGGAATTATTGTTTAGGTAAATAAGTAGGAAAATGAAAAAGCAGTCGTGAATGTAGTTCAGTATAATTGATGGATTAACTCGTCCTATATTGCTGTTAAATTGCCTCCACGCAACGCATGGGCACGATAAATTTCTGATCACCCAAGGGTAAGTTTGATACAGGTTTGTATTGAACTCTATTAATGAGACGTGAACTCTGACTTATATATTCTTCTAAATGATCGATTCACAGTTATCTACAGATCTTAATAAAATATGAACTCTGTCGATAATTGAACGAAATCAATTTCTGAAAATATCTTGCACTAAATGAATGTCTATATTTGGGTACACATTTAGGGGATATTGAGAATTCATACGGTATTACGGAAATCACTAAATAGAATAAAATAAATAAAACTAATATCAGCACTGTCAGATCCTTTTTAATTATTTAAAGAAACAAACACACGCAGTCTCAATAATATTCCTGAATGCTTTTCAACGTCTTACACTATTTTAATGAAATAAGATAAACGCTACAACTTCAAACTATTTCCCCTCGAAACTCATTTAAAGGAAAATGAAATAAACTGATATTTAATTTTATTTGTAAGGTAACGTACCGCATAATCCACTTAATATATCATGAAAGAAATAGTGGACTGCCCATTGGTATACATATCACAAAAGATTAAAACCAAAAATTTCGATAAATTTAATTAAGCAAGGATTATGACTTCAAAAACAATAAACTTAGAAATCATGCAATTTGCCAAGAATTTGAAGTAGCTAACAGCAAATATTAAAGGATTGAAAATTGAAATCTGTAGTTGTAATGGTGAAACAGCGGAATTTCTGAATGATGGCGGTTCAGAATCGAGGAAATCTTCGACCTTGCTCCACTCACTCAAATCGACCGCTTAAATATTTTATACCGAATCTTGCTCCGCGAAACAAGCGCACAAGAAACGAGAAAAGAAATGCGTAGGCGATTGGGTACTGAATGTTACAAACAAATCACTACAACCACCAATACTTTTCTTCAACTATATCGACGTTAGAAATCTTCGAAAAAAAATTATGTATGAAAGGAACAAAAAATGCTCGGTCTATTGAGTTGAGTTACGAATTTTATGCATATATAGCATACCTAATCAATTCCCGTTCACCGCAATATATTTATTTTACTTTGCCAACGCAACTTCGACAATTTTGAGTTATATTCATAGTATATCTTGAAAGTTCATGTCTTTCAAATTATCGAGTGTTTACACCTAATATTTTACATATATTATGGGCAATCTATCTACTATCATCTTACTAAACCCTATTAAAAGCGAAGGCGGACAGTTTCGACCTTCCCTTGTGAATACTGCCTTCTTCCGAAAACAAATTTTCAGAATTCACGAAACTGGAATCGTAAACCAGAATACAAACGCCAATTATTTTAGTGATTTCTGTCGAGTGTCTATGTCAAGTGATAAGACTCTCGCCAGCATGTTGCATTCCAGACGATTGTGACGATCGCAATGTATGCCACTGAATGAAAGATTAAATCGCTTATTTACACGAATTTACACGTGCAGATATCGACGGCGTTAAAAAGTAGTAAATTTCACTCCGGAAATAATCAAATTAATAGTAGGTATATTTTAAAGTTCTCAGGGTTCTAATCTATATTACGTAGATAAAAAGCGTCACGTTTTGCTGATAAATAAAAGGCCAGTAATAAATCATCTTTTTCTGCAACTACCTATAACGTATACCTATAATTGGCCATTCTCTGAATAATACATTTGAAACTCATTGAAGTAAATAATTTTTAGATGTATGTATTATTCTTAACGATCATTAAAATTCATTACGTTGATACAGCTCAAGAAAAAATGGACAATCCGAGATCGACATACAATTAAGTAGCTAAGCAATGGCCCAAATGTGACAATCGAAGCAGTCTCGAGGCGGACGTTAATCTTATCGATCATTCGGATCAAGAGTTCTTATCGAGAACCTGCCACCGTTCGCGTAATGTGGCACAAAAATTTCAACCTGACCTGATATTATCACGAAAACACGCGATAGCGACGAAATCATCGAAACTAGTGCTTTCTGGTTTCCCAGAGAGATGCCTCTATGAATCTACAAAGGTGATTGCAACGTGTCCCTTTCGACGACTATGTAAAATCGATGATTCCCCACTGAATCCGTCTTTCCTCGATTAATATTCTCGTTAGGTAATAGGTCCCGTTATCTTAAAGATTCATGACAATGAGTGAAGACATGAAATCGATACTAATCATCTTTTTCTAATTTCTACTAGGACATTTACTAAGCTGTGAATTTTTTTTCGACTAAATTCTTCACTGTCGCGACCAGACTAAATTTGATAATCGACAAATTTATAACAACTATGCAGAAATTCTTAGGGAATAAGATAATTCTTCCATATATATTTTTTTACTACACTGTGTGGCATAACTAATGAAACCACCCTAAAATTTGCAATCCTTATGTATTGTGGTTAAAATAAAAATGAACCAAGTATGCTATGTCTGAAAACGTGTTGAGAAATAATGTTTCTCCAGAAAAGCATAGATTATATTCTTTAGAAAAAAAGTGGTACGTTTTTATTTTAACTACATATGTAAGAATTGAAAATATTTGGATGATTTTATAATTATGCCACGCAGTGTATGATGAACTATTAATAGTTATACGTATTACTATTAGTCTACTGAAATTCAAATTGTTACAGTACTTGTAAAATTCACAATCAGTTTTCTACAAACTGACAGTCGAAAATGAGACTAACAGGTACGAAATTAAGAGAAGGTTGCATGCTTTAGATATAGGTACATTGCTATCCTAAAACGAATGTTAACTTAGAATATTGTAATGAACTCAATATTTATATGATAAAACATTATGACTAGGTTGTAGTACAGTGTTCGTCGATTATTAAAAGGATTAAACATAAACAGATTCAACCTTTATTTACTAGTAAACATTGCTCCCACGAGAAGAAACAATAACTCAAATAATCTAACAGACTTATCCACCAGGATATAGCACACGAATTAAAAAAGTTATGCGTTCGCAAAATGTATCCACGCACCCTCATATAATATCTCCCAACCACCTCCCTCTAAAAACCCAACACTCTCTAAAAACAATACATTTCAAAGTCACCAGAAAATCTACCATACAAGGACCATTGAAAACAATCGGAGACATGTTTTGCGAAACCGTCCTTAACTCGTCCATCTCCTAACCCCACTCGCTCCACCACCACAAAACAATTTCTTCTATACCGTCCCAAGCTACGCATACCAACTAAAACATTATCCAAAATTCCTCAAACACCACATAGCCTCCCTTCTCCGATCCATCAAACCGTATCGATATCATTCCATTCCACCGAAGAATCGAAGGATCGCCCCCCTTCCCCTCCACTTGACCAGCCAGCAAAACCGCGTCTCTTCGATGGATCCCGAAGGGTGGCGAGGGGGGGAGGGATAAGGACAGACAAAAACAAACCAAGAATCCTTACCTTCCAGCTTCTTGTTCCTCACTAACAGGGCCCGAATGACGTCCTGGTTGGGCGCAGCCTCCGCCAGGTCGGCGGCGTCCTGATGCGAGGGCGGCAGAGATGGTCCAAGCGGCGGCATGGTGCTCGTCGGTGGTCGCGGCATCATCACCGGCGCCGTGCCCAACGGCGGCAACGGCAGCCCCCCAGGTGTATGGTGTAGCGGATTATGGGGTGGCGGGACGGCACTGGTGAGTGTCGGCAGGGTCGCGACCGGCTGCACCGCCGCCGACATTGACAGATCGACGCCACCCAACAGTACCGGACGACACCCCCCTGAACCGGGCCCGCTGCTCACCGCCGGGAGGATTCCGCCACCCCCCGGCAGTGGTGCGTACGGCAAGTACAGCTCCAGTATAAAAGCTGGTGACAACAACCGCGGGAAAACCGACCGACCCGGTGTGTCTTTGTTATCAACAGAGGAGGATCTATCCTTCAGTAGGGTCCTCTAACTTTGCTTCGAATGCTCCTTGACAACTGGTAAACGAAATCGAAGCTCGTGGATATATGATAAGAAAATTTTTGGATGCTACATGAAATCGCTTATTGTTAGGGGATTCTAGTGACAGGTCACAGTCCACTGGATATTCTTTCACGAAAACACAGAACTATCACTTCACACCTTCAGAGTCACTGTCTTTTCCGTCTCCCTCTGGACAGACCAGAAACACATATATAATCCTGATCCAGTTCAATGGAATAAGGTCGTCAATGAATTGTCCACTGACGATTAGACGTACCGAATCGCCGGTGGCCGTCCACCGACTGACACCAACAGTTCCACACTGTTCAACACACTTTGTAGAGTTTGTATTTCATCACTCGATCGATGAATTTGAGATGGATCATTCTCACGGATACCGAAACCGCACTGTCCTATCTCTTGGTTCGTTTCGGGTACTTTTGGGCTCCGTTTGACTGTTTTAATATCATCGGAATGAAGGAACCGGTCGGCTTACGGCTACTTATCGATCGATCGTCCAAAGTTCCGTACGTAATCTCGTCGCGAAGTAGATCGCCGATCGCGATCGGTCCTCGAACAAGCTCTTATTTCGGTCACCTTCCGACGACTTTATCGAATTCGAAGACAAGAGTGTGGCCGGCTTGTCAGTCGACGGAGCGCGGCGTATCGCGTGCAAGGGAAGCGCCAACGTCTCCACGCGCCGTGGTTCACTGAGCGCGGCCGGGGCGTACGCTTACGAATGTTTACGAGCGCCGCTAGTAGCAACCGGGGGGTTGAATGGCTTGTTTGTAAATACTCCCGGCGTTCGCGGCAAAGGAAAGCCCACGGTTTACCGTCGGTGAACGTGAAAACTCCGGCTACGCGCGTGTGTTTACGCGGCCTCGTCGATGATCAATGAATCCCAACGTCTTCGTAGACGCGTCCTATGATTCATTGAATCATAATAATCCTTTCGGTATCCTTGCAACGGCGGAATTGTCGATTCATCGATGAACTTTTCACTGACACGAAGTTATATTGATGAAATATATATAGTTTCTCAGTTTTTCTCTTTTATGATGAAAAAGAAAAAAAGAAATATAAGTGTCACAAGGAACGCGATAGTTGAATCGCTCAGCGAAACAGGAAAACTGTCACATCAAAGAGAAGACGAACCGTCACAGCGACAGACGACCGGCATCACTGAAATTCTCCGGCGGAATTTTTGCTCGCCAGGTCGCATCGAGGCGAATCGACAGGTGGAGTTCGCGAATCGGACTGAATTCTAGCTTGCTCGATGCCTCCCGGCAAGATCCGAGCGGGCCTGAAGCCAGCCACGCACTCGTTCGCCCCGCTAGCGCTGGTAAGCTCCAAAGCGACGGTCCACCGTCTTATCGGGCAGTTCACGAGTCTCGGATTATCTCGACCATAACCTTGGCTATGTTGCCCCGATCGCGACGATATTTTTTCGTAAAATCATACACACGATTCGCGCGACGTCTCTTCTCCCGTTTTATCGACTGTTTCTCGGTTTCGTCCTCCACCTCGGTCGGGATTATCTCCCGTTGCCCTGGCACCCTCTACTAGGCAGGTCTCTCATGCTTCAGTTACAATCGTTTCGCAATCCATCATTACAAAGTGCATCCAAGAATCTCCACGGTTGCATGATTCACCAGAAACGATTCCTTAAACGTTTCTCGAAACAAGAAACACCGATAACGCTTCTACTTTTTTCCCCAATACTTCTTCCACGAAGGTTCCTTTCAATTTCTAATCGTGGTATTCAGAGTCAAGGAATACATTAAGCAAGTCGGCAGCGAAATTACGATTCACGATCCTCGAACGCCCCTGATGGCGAGTGCCCTTTCTTACACTCCTCGCGTTCCGATCCTAATACGAATTTCAAACTGTCCCAGTCGAAACAACGAGCCTCGCGACGGGCGGATCCGACGAGCGCGGACGGATCGACCGGCGAAGATCACCGATAGGAGCGGAGAGAGGCTTTTGTTGGGTCTATCCTCTAATCTTCCTCGCGGCGCGTCTATCTCCGCTCGTTCCCCCTTTCGATCGGGCAATAGGGGGGCGACCAGGCGCGGTTTTTACACGCGCGTTGATGGAAATCGACGGGCCGGGCCCGATGTAAATTCTGGATGCCGATACAGAGAAAAACCCAATGAATCACGTAGCGGCGATACCTTCGGTCGAGCCGGGGTCCGAGCGTCGCTTGGCCGCTTGGGGCCCTCCTTTTCGTCGTCCGACGATTCGACCCGAATACACGCCGACCGGTAAGAAACGTCGAATTCCACCGCTCTTGAATCGAGATTTTCGTCCTGCCACGGTCTCCTTCTCTCTTTTTCTCTCTGGCATCGGTGCAACAAACCCGTCCGGGCCTCGTCATCGGCCGACGTTCGCGTCCATTCAGCCGACGATTATCCCTCGCGTCACTGTCGATGACTTTCTTCCCGTCCAACTTTCCTCATGAACCCCTTTAAATTCCTCGCTTGCGACTGATCTTCGACGTGAGATTACGAATGAATTAATCTGCCGTTCTTTTTATGCTCTCTTAGCACGGAAAACAGACGTAGAATCACAGCGTACTCTCATACGCCTTTATTATTTCCTCTGGTCCTGTACACACACTCTTGTTGATCGTTGAACGATCGAATATACGCGATCACGGACACGTTATAAAATCCCGTTTACCGTGCATTTGCAATGGTGAAAACGGTTGACAGTCACTTGGAACATCCCGTGGATCGTCGATGACGTGTGACGTACGGAATCGCGAAATGTCGAAGGTCAGACGAGTAATGTGTTCGCCGCGGAGGTCTAACCGATAACTTGCGAACGAGAAAAGGGGGACACTGGCCGCGGGATCTCGGGAATGTGCGATTTGATTAGCGGGTACCGCGGCACTATGGAGCCGGCCTCGCAGGGTACCCGGCTTCAGCGACGAGGATCAGAGATCCGGAGGGACCTGGAGGGACTTGGAGGGACGCATAGAAAGGTGGAGGTGGCTCTGAACGTTCTGTGATACCGTGTGTGCGTCGCCCTGTCGGAGGAGAGGCTTCCACCCTACCATCGGCGGCCACCACCGAACCGTCTCGGACCAGCTCGTGCCCAAACGGGAGGGGAGGGAGGAAACACTCTGGTGGGGCATCGATGTTGGCACGCCTGCGCCGCGCAACCTGTCTCCCTCGTGCACGAAAAACCGCGCGGGGGACACATCGGCTTGGCTCCGTGTTATAAGATTTTTGGAGTGATTTGCGGCGTACGCGTCGGCGAATCGAACAAAACATCGAACGTGAAAAAGCTGGGAAAATTGTTTATCTGTACATACACGGTGTATATGCATACATTCTTTTGTAAAACAAATTTTTGTAAAACATAACTGTAATATATAGAGTAAGCAATCAGTCTGGGGCTTATTTTTTGTTATTCATTCTTTGTAGTCGCATCAACCTCTAATATCAGGGATATTTGCGGTTATAATTGCATTTAAATTACGATACTATAATTGGGCTCCGTGTTATAAGATTTTTGGAGTGATTTGCGGCGTACGCGCCGGCGAATCGAACGGAACATCGAACGTTTTTAACATAATTCAATATAATACCCTACATATTCCATACTAAAAGCTGATAGTACAAATTCTGATTGTTATTACATTTTCTTTGCGATTTTAATTATTACCTAGAAATAAAATTATTAGGTTACAAAGACTAACAAAACTACCCTATTTTACACGTGTAATTCTTTAACCGTGTTACAGCAAAATATAAAATGCCATAATCGACTATAAGTGATATAAATCATCATCGACGAATAAATCTAATTAATAAAAATGAATTTTCACACAAGTCTCCGTATCCGCATAAAACACCCTTAAACTCATCGCTTCCCCAAGTACCGCATAACTAAAAGTTCGCAGGATACCATCTGTCAGTCAAGTGCGAACAAAAAACAAAATCAAATAATCTTAACACGAACGTATACCTTACATCAGAATTTAATATTCAAATTCTTCGCGTACTCCTCGTATCTCCAGAAGCTCTACCCCTCCCACATCCAATTGAAGATGTTCCCGTTAATGAAGTGTGCTGCAACAAGAGCCTTGAATAAGTAACGAGAATCCCGTTTCGGTTCTTTCGTGAATACCGCGCCGTTTCCGCTCGGCGGGACGGAAAATCTTCGGGGCGAGTTCCCTTTCGAAAGTGAAAGAAACAAATGAGAGGCAAGAAAGTCGCGATGAGAAAGGAAACCTCGGCGACTCTCGACGGATGTTGAAGGTTGCGGAACGAGGGGTTAGGGGGTGGGGGAGAAGGGAAGAGAGAAGGAGAATAGTATCGTGCTAATCAAGACCGATGGTCAATAATGGCGGCCACGGGTTGGTCGGACCCAAGTCCAACCTACCCCCCTTTCGAGCGTCGGGTGTGTACGGGGGTGGTTTAAGCCGGCACTTCGACCCTCTGGAGTCGACAGGGGTTGATTCTGGCTGGAGCTCTCGAGAGCGAGACATATTTTTATTGTACCTAGGTGAATCACTGCTACGGTGCCTCTCTCTTTCTTTGTGTTATCCACTCACGCCCTCCCCACCCCTGGACCAAACTTACTACCATTACAGCTAGCGATGGGACGAAAGTTATTTGAAACGCTCGAATGTTCTACGACTTGAATGCAATACGTACGGTGAGGAACGAAAGTGTTCGTCTATTTCGTATATGTTATGAGTAGACAGTGGTGGTATTATTAACTTTTGTTCCCTTAGATTTTTTACTACTGATGACTATAGA